CTTCTTATTTTTATTCTTCTTTTTCGAAAAACGAAATCATTGACGACATCAACATTAACATTGATGATTCAACAAAAACAACAACAACACCAATCTCCAGTTCTTCCAATCTCGCTCATCGTGCTTGCGTTTTCATCAACTCAAATGACAACCAAGTGATCAATAATGGATCTCATCATTCCTTTATGAAACCACCTTTTCCTCCAAAAATAAATATTAAAGATTTATTTATTCGTCACAAGAGCCAAAAAACAAAAATAACATCCGCATCTACCACAACCAGCCTCGATGATAAATCCATATCTTCACTAAGATCTCCAAATGCGTTTATTTTATATCGAACAATGTTTTTTCAAACTGCAAGATCGCAAGGATATCAATTACCCATGACGGTTGTATCAGCAATGGCTTCTAAATTTTGGAAACAAGAACCAAAATATGTTCAGGATGAATATAAAAGGATTGCAAAAGAAGCTAAAAAATTTCGTGATGAACTGATTCCAAGCAATAAAATTAATCGACGTAATAAGAAAAAAGATGGTTGGAATGTCATTTTCTTTGAACCAAAAACTTCCACCAAAAGAAGAACTTCAACAATCAAATCGACAAAAAATAATAAACCTTCATCATCAAATAATAATAAAAATAATAATAGTGCTACAAGTCAAGTCACTTATAATCCAAAGCCTAACACACACAAAGTCTAATTCTACTAATTCCACTTTCAATGTCATTTATTTATTTATTTAAGACCATCTATCAACCTTAATATTACTTAAAAATTGCACCGCTTTGGGTTGATTTTTTAAAGCTGCCATCTTTAAGAATTGCAAACCTTTCTCTACGTCTTTCTTCAAACCAACCATACCACCATAATACATTCTGCCCATATTAAATTGTGCAGTGGCATTACCGTTATCAGCTGCCTAAGTCAAATAATTTAAGAAGGCATCCGTGTCTTGTATTATTTGATCATGGTATAATGAGAAAGCGTAACGTAATTGACTGTCAGCAACATCACAATCAGCCGCTTCCTTAAAA